TGGTACTCCAAAGCTCGCGTTCAAATTCTTTAATTGGCTTTAAGTGTGCCAACTTTTTTTTAAGTTGCAGTGTTATTCCATGCATTTGACTTAAAACAGCCAGTTATTTGACTGTTCTTAGGTTACACAAACAATACTATTATGTTTGTGTAATGATAGTTTCAGTTGAGAGAGCTTATCAAATTTTTACACTGGTGACGAACTCTCCATTTTGTAGTTTCCATCAAAGTTATTATGTAGTAAATACTTAGTTTCCTGTGGTCCAAATGTAATACTTTCAAACAAAATTCTATTCTTTTGATATTTTTATTTCTCATGCAAAGGAGTTCCAATAGAAAAAGGAGCAAGGTAGTTGATACATTTAAAAACCAAGTTTGCTTTTGGTGTTGGTAATACAGTAATCTGGAAGAAAGGAGTGTAGTTTTTTTATATACTGTCTACAGTTCCTCAGAGGAGTTGACTGGATTTAAGTTTGGAGTTAAAAGGTTTTAGGGCAGTTATCTTTTTTTTTTTTTTTAAGCATACTGCCAATTAGATAGTAAACTGAAATTTTCAGTTAAGATAGAAATGATAGCTTTTATTTGTTGAACTTCTGCCATTGGCCAGCTTCTTTACATATGTCATTTCTGACATACACATCCCTGTAAAGAAACATCTTCAGAGGTTAAGTAACTTGCTTTGAGGTCTTAAGTAATGGCAGAGTTGGGATTCTAATCCAGGTGCTTTACCTTCCCAAACAAAATGTCCTTGATCATTTCCCAAGGGATAGTGGCCAACTCAGTGAACCAATCAGATTTCATATCATATGGCCAGTTATTTCCATATTTAATGGGGCCAGTAGTAAACACAAAACAGACTAGTGGTTACCTGATGGTCTAATATAGTATTTACAAATTATTTTTTCCAAATTCTTGCTGAAATTGAAGTTTTTTAAGGTAAACTTGTATTTTTTTCATGCGTTCCAAATTGTTTTTTTTTTTTAAGTTTTAAAAATATTTTAATATCCATCTCTATGCAACCATACTGATGCTGTTTTTCAAGGAATATATATTACATGGGAAATACAATATACTTGGTTTAAATGGTGAATATACCAATTATTTCACTCTGTTGTTTTGTAGATTGTAAGGTCTGATGATTTGTTTTTAATAAAGTTGGTCCAAATTCTTAAAGCTGTGGAAAACTAACGAAATGCAGGCCTAGAGTGTTCTTTTTTTCCATTCCTTACTGTTTATATGCATTGCCACAGTATTTTGCAAAAGTACTACTGGCTTCAGACCCAGATGAAACTTAGTGGTCTTTGAAAGTATGTATTAAGGATAGTAAGTTTTTCAATGTATTTGCATGTAAACAAAGCCTTTGTGTTTAAATAAAAAAAGTCTATTAGCATAGAAAAAGGTATAAAAAGATACACAGCAAACTTAACTTGGTTGTGGGAGAGGCGCCAGCCTTATGTTATATACTGTTGTATTGTTTGTCTTGTTAAAGTGAGTATTTTCTAATTTTTAAATACAGTCAAATTTACAAAATGTCAGCTACGTTGGGGGAAACGTATACATTCTGCACCTTTGAATATTAGCTATGGTGTTTCTATTTGATTACTCTGTTTTGACTGTAAACATCATAGGCCATCATTAGCTGATAAAAAGTAGGAATTTAATTTTGAGGTCATAATTAAAATGTGTTTCTCTTCCTACAGGGAACAAGTGCAGAACAGGATAATCGGTTCAGCAACAAACAGAAGAAGCTACTGAAGCAGCTGAAATTTGCAGAATGCCTAGAAAAAAAGGTATTCTGGATAAAACTGTTTTGCACCTATATATAGCACAGTTTATTCAAACATTTTGGGATTGTCTTGGAGATGGACAATAATGTGAATGCCAAGGAATGCATTCATAATTAAACATTTTGCACCCTTTAGCAACAACAAACACACAGAATAACACCACCAAATAAGAATGAGCCAAATTGTGCTTTGCTAAACAGACAAACAAAAAATCGTAAACTAAAAGGAACTCTGCTAGATAAAACTCTTTGGGGCCCTTTCTTTTAGGATTGTGAATTTGTATTCAATAATTGCTTGCATGTTTTATCAGGTGGACATGAGCAAAGTAAATTTGGAGGTTATAAAGCCTTGGATAACAAAACGAGTAACGGAAATCCTTGGGTTTGAAGATGATGTTGTGATTGAGTTTATTTTCAACCAGCTGGAAGTGAAGGTAATAATATACAGATGGCTCTTAATTCTGAAAATGTGACATAATTTTGTGTATCTATGGAAACTGAATTTTTCTATGGAGTACAAATATAGGAAGGCTATTTTACAATGTTTGTTGTGAAAATTCACTTTGTAAACAACTATTAAGCCTGGAAGTTTAGTGAAGGTACATAGTTTTGAAAGCTACACAGGTGAAAAATCAAACTTATTGTTTGTAATTTTGCTGTTACATGTTAAGTTACTTTGACAGCAATTTTCTAATGATAATGTGATTTATGATTTAAAAGGCCTGAACCAAAATGGAAGTTATTCCTTGCGTCTGAAGTATAGCACCATCACCTTATTAGGTCACAGCAGAGTGAGTGTCCCAATGTCGCTCTGACCCAACTCCCTTGATGATGCAGTGTGTGTTTGGAGGTGAGTTGTGTAAAGTGGCCGAACATCAACAACAACAACAAAAAAACACAAACAGGAAAGAGCAATTGGGTAAATCTATACACTGCTCTTAAAAATACTATTATGAAATGGACATTTATGTGAAGCATGAGGGGCAATTCTGATTTGAAAGGATATTGTTTTTAAAATAATCAAGAAACTGAAGCCTTTCGTTATAGCTGCATGTCAGCTAGTCATCAATTACATTTAGGCACAGAATATTTGTTTACGTTATAGTTAAACTTCAGGCTGAATTTGGCAACATTGTTAGATTGAGTTAATTGTTCTTTTCTTCATATGTGAGATAATGTGAGATGCTAGAACTGATGTTTTAAAAAAAATTTTATTGTAAGATAGTCTGCTATTTGCCACGACAACCCAAAGGCCAGTAAGATGTACCATTTGACCTTTTTGGCAAATGTACCAATGTGAATTTACATTAATCCTTTTCCCAAAGAGTTCACCCCTGTGTTTTGACAGAACAGTTGGCATTTCCACTGATAAGGTATTTCTGTTTTAAAAATAATTTGGTAATTATACTTTGTCTTGAATAGTTTTAAAGATTAATTTTAAGAAAGCACTTTATTTAATATGTATACATTTTATTTAGAAAACCAGGAACATGGGAAAACGTTTTTTAAGTGATGGTTAAAGATAGATTTTATTGGAGAAATGCTTTACTGATTTGTATTTTAGTGCATTTTAAAAACCTAAGTATCTGGTAGTAACCCCCTTGTAGTGAGCATGAGAATAAAGTTTAGAACTTTTTTAAACAATCTTTTTCTTTTTGTGTGGTTGTGTACTCATTATTGCTTGTTCGTCTTTTGCAATTTAGATAAATGATATAACATTAAACTCAAGGTGGTTGAGTTGCAGTAGGGAGTCGGAAGCAAGCCAAGGGAACATCTTTCTCTACAGGGGACTTGGCGATTCCAAACCCCCAAGGTTCCAAGAAGAAACTGAAGACACCTGGAATCTGTACTTGCTTTGTGCTATTGAGCTGTGCTTGTTATACGGACCTTGTTGCTTGACCAACAGATTGAGCATTTAAAAACCCAGTTATTTTTGCAAAATCTTGACCTCTTAGCCCTTTGTGGACAGTTGAGAATTTGAGGCATTGTTATTATAATAGATTTTCCTTATGGAGAAGTCAGGCTTTCAGCTTAGTCTTCAAAAGTTACAGAGTGCATGCATAACTTGTTAGTTTTCATAATTGGACAGTAGATATTTTATGGGAAGCTATCTACCGTGTTAGAGAAGTGAATAGTTTATATACTTTTTCCATTTCTCATGAGGGGAAAATTGCCAGGCAAGCAAACACTTTCCTTGTTAGTAAACAAATACAAGAATTTGTGGATGTTCCATGATGGTTTTTAAAGTTAATTGTAAGGCCCACTAACAGCCACATAGTCTAAAAATACTTATGAAATCCACAAAGGATTAACAAGCTGCTCTGGTGCTTTTGGTAGAGAGAGAATTTGGTAATCTGTGCTAGAAATTATATTGCTGAGACACTACTAGAGAAAACTATTTTTAAAATAGTAAATATATGTATCTAAGCCCCTATGGTAGACTTAAAAAATACTAATTTAAATGAGTTTTAGGTTGGTTTGTTGGTTTGTTTTAAGTAACCTGTTTCTCTTCCTGTCATGTCTTTTTGCAGAATCCAGACTCCAAAATGATGCAAATCAACTTGACTGGGTTTTTGAATGGAAAAAATGCTAGAGAATTTATGGGAGAACTGTGGCCCCTGCTCTTAAGTGCACAGGAAAACATCGCTGGAATTCCTTCTGCTTTCTTAGAACTGAAGAAAGAAGAAATAAAACAGAGACAGGTAATAGCCTTTACTTTTTTGTAACGTTGATTTAAGAGAGTAGTATCCACATTGCTGGGACGCTTTAAATTTTACATGACCCAGTTAATTTAAGGCCCGCATGTCGCTTTGCTTGAACGTTGACTTTTGGTTCTCCACTCCTTCCCTCCCAACCCAAACATTCAGTTTAGAATCATTTTCCAAGAGTCCAGTAATTTAGGAGATTAAAAAAAAATAATAACTGTAAAAGGTAAGCATAAGCTCTTTATATAGGCAGGCAATACATTTTAAGTCACAAAAGATTTGAGATGAATGTGGAAATGATTGTGTGTGTGTGTGTGTGTGTGTGTGTGAGTGTGAGTAAACTTAAAAACAGCTGCTACTCTAGTTCAGGATTTAATTTTCAGCAAGTATTCGGTTGTCGGAAAAGTCATGATGCATTTTTGCAACGAAAAACAAAAAATGCATCATGACTTTTCCGCCAACCCAGTATTTATTTAGTACCAATCTTAATGTGTGCCTGTAATGGATGAAGAAAGAACAGTTGAAAAGCAGAGGCTGATGAAATGGCAGCACTGGTGTTTGTCAGATGTGCAGTCTTCAACTTGCTTCTTGATCTCAAAGGCTCAGCTATGTTTACTTTGAAAACCCGATCTTTGCAGATTGAACAAGAAAAGTTGGCATCTATGAAAAAGCAAGATGAAGACAAAGATAAGAGGGATAAGGAAGAAAAAGAAAGCAGCAGAGAAAAAAGGGAGAGGTCTCGAAGCCCAAGAAGGTACAATACAATGGATGCATACCTAATGTTTTAAGAGTGATTTAGGTATTAAGGTATTCTGTGAGTAGAAAGTTACACAGTTAAAAAGGAAGCTAGCTAACAATACTATTCATACAGTTTTTGTGCCAAACTATGGCTTGCCTCTGGACTAAAATATTTCATCTTTTATTTGAGAAAGATGATTTGACTGTAAAATTGTCTCTCAAATTTTGGTGAATTATTCAACTTAATTCTTGAATCAAAATCTAGACTTGTTTTCCATATGTCTTTAAGTATAGCATTTAATTGAGTTGTTATTTTAATGTACTCCAACTTTTTTTCTTTCCATTTCCTTTTTTATTAGAAATCTTCCCATTAGCCATTCATATACTTTTCTAATTCCCTGTTCTGCTTTTCTTAGATGAATGTACTGAACCCCAAACAGATCATTTATTTTTCTTCTTCCAAAGAGACTATGGTTAGGTTCCCATTTTTTAAATCTTTGACTCAACTTCTACTGTATTTATAGTGAAAGGCGAGCGTTCTACTAGGCTTTTCATTTTTAGGGTTCTAATTTCTTCAGAAATCTGTTGGAATTAGTAAAGGGAGGAGGTAATTTCTTTCATTTATATATTTGATATTAAAACCTATTTATCAGGAAAGCAGTGCTATTTCTAGAGTTAAGCACAAATCATACTGGTAACTACTTACTGATGAACCAGATCTATTTTACTTCAAGTCAGGAAAACTACTATTGAAAAGGGGGCTTCTCGTTCAAAAAAGCGATCGTATGCAAGTTTCACATACAGTATTTCTCTTCTCTTCTTGCTTTAATTGCACTGGACATTTTTTCTAGGCTCTACCTGATGTACTTTAGTGGGATTTGTCTGCATCTAAACTCTGTTTTGCTGGATTTGATTTATTATTGGGGCATATCGCTTTATAATTGGCCCTTCAACAACATGGGTTTGTACTGTGGGGATCCATTTACATGCACGTTTTTTTCCATAAATACTGTAAATATATTTTCCTTATGATTTTCTTAATATTTTATTTTCTCTATTGTAAGAATACAGCATACAATGCATATAGCATAAGAAATATGTGTTAATTGACTATTATTGGCAAGGCTTCTGGTCAACAGTAGGTATAGTTACTAGTTTTTAGGGAGTCAAAAGTTATGTGTAGATTTTCAATTTGCCCTAATCCCTGAGTTGTTGAAGAGTCAGCTGTACTTTTAAGCATCATCTTCCTCTGAAAAATTGCTCTTTTGTTTCACATCTGGAACTGATTAAGAACCTAACTCTGGAGTCCCAGGTCAATGCTTTCCTTCTTTATAACTGGTGTACCAGAAAATGTTATTTCTCATTTGCTTGCCTTTCTGGTTTTCTCCTGGCCCTTCCTTGTTAAGTAAATGTGATAGGATATCTTATTTTCATAGGGAACGTCTCAGATATAAACAGCAGTGGTGTAATCAAAAAGAATCCTCACTTTTGCCTTTGACTCTCTCCCCTAATTCACATTATTCAAAAACCTGAAAAAATTGCTTTCATCCTAGACGCAAATCCAGATCTCCTTCCCCTAGAAGACGATCTTCCCCTGTCAGGAGAGAGAGAAAGCGCAGTCATTCTCGATCTCCCCGTCACAGAACCAAGAGCCGGAGTCCTTCCCCTGCTCCAGAAAAGAAGGAAAAAACTCCAGAGCTCCCAGAACCATCAGCAAAAGTAAAAGAACCTTCAGTACAAGAGGCCACTTCTACTAGGCAAGTACACATAAAAATTCATGTATAAATATCCGTTTTAGGCTGTTAAAGGTGTGAACACAAATATGATACCTGAATTCAAAACAAAATTACTTGGTTGGTTTTTTTGGGGTTTTTTTTTTTTATTATTTTTTTTAGATTTTTTTGAATGAAAATCAGCTTATAGAAAAGAAATTATAATTGTATAGGACAGTATAAGTAAAGTGCCCCAAAGGTGACCACTGCTTCCTGTTGGTTGTATTCTTTCAGATATATGCTGTAACTTGCTTTTTTTCTCAATATTGTGGACCACTCTGCACTTTAAAAAAAAATGTATGGGGTTAGGATTGTTAGATGCTCACTGGATTTCACAGATCTTTTAGAGCTAGGAAGATATCTTCATGGATCTTAAAAACTTTTTTTTTTAAGATTTTATTGGGGAATTGGGGAAGGGGAACAGACAGGTAGACAAATAGCTGTTTTGTTCTTCAGTCTAGTTGTGGAGGACGTTGCTTCACTGGCCCATGTTGGTATGATCATTGTGCTCTTCCCAGATGAGGCAATCGGTCACCGGCCATTGGTCGGCCGCTCACCGCGGCTCCCGGTAGCTCACACTAGCTACTAGCCGCTCACGCTGGCTGCCAGCCACTCAAGTAGCTCACGGCAGCCCACTGCAGCCCTGCTGCAGCCTACACCGTCGCTGGCGACTCACAGCAGCCCAGCTCCAGGTTGAGCTGTTGTTCATCATCTTAGCTGTAGAGGGCGAGCGTCACTGGCCCTCAATGTGGGATCCGAACCGCAGCCCTGCGGCTCAGAGCTGGCGTTCCCAAGCCAGCTCTTAACCAGCTGAGCCACTCGGCCGGCCCGAAAGGCTTTTTTGTTTTGTTTTGTTTTTTAGCTGAGCCATCCTGCCACCTGTTGGCAGCTCAGCCGCTGCTCAGCTTGGGCAGGGACTCGAACCGCTGTTGCTCAGAGCTCAAACTCTTGAGCGAGCTCTTAACCAACTGAGCCACTCGGCTGGCCCTAAAAACTTTTTCAAAAATAACTTTATTCATTGAATGAATTATAACTTAGGAGTCTGAGTAGAAGAGGGAAAAATAAGATTTTTCTTTCCATAGTGACATCTTGAAAGTTCCCAAGCCAGAACCTTTACCAGAACCTAAAGAACCTTCTCCGGAGAAAAATTCCAAAAAAGAAAAGGAAAAGGAGAAGACCCGACCAAGATCTCGGTCACGTTCTAAATCAAGATCCCGAACACGCTCTCGCTCTCCTTCTCATACTCGACCTAGGCGGCGCCATAGATCCAGGTCAAGGTGAGTTGTGGCTTTAAGATCCGCATAGAACTTAGGTTTTATGTGCTACTCTTCTAAGTAGAATTAGCTAAATAGTTTCAAAGCAGTAGAAAACATTTAATAAAATGTTATTTTTTGGATTTACAGAGAGAATTGAGGACACTTGCAGTGTACCATAAAAATCTCTACATAAATGGAATTATATTCCTTGAAATCCATTTTTTCAATGTAGCTGTTGAGAAAACTGTCAAGCAATTCATTCTGTGTTCCTGATTGATTCAGGTCCTAATTTTGTTTGTTATAGCAGATCATACTCCCCTAGAAGGCGGCCAAGTCCAAGAAGACGGCCATCTCCTCGCAGGAGAACTCCACCGAGACGAATGCCCCCTCCACCAAGGCATAGAAGGAGTAGATCTCCAGTGAGACGGTAAGAGTTCCTTTTTTTTTTAAATTTGGAAGTGTTGGGTATATGAAAGTGCACCATGTTTTAGGCTAATCAAGAAAGTCTTATTGATAACTTAGTGTTAACTTTTACCCTTGCAGATCCCACCAAGAAATCCTATCAAGGAAATTAGCCACCTTTCTTTTTTGGCTTTTAATTACCACTGGCTTCTGAAAAGTAGATGACTGCAGGGCCAGTAAGCTGCTTTTACCAGTATTAAAACAATCTATTTGCATTAATTATACTTTTCTATTTTAAATGTTTTTTCTCATTATAGAAATAATGAGTGCTTATTTTAAACAATTCAAACAAATAACATAAATTGAAAATTACCCATGATCCCATTCCGTAGATAGAACCATTAGCAGTTTGGGGTCTAGTTATTCTTGAAGAGACTAGACATAAGAGTAACCCTGTCAATACCAGTGTTCTTTTTATAAAATCTTCTTAAAGTTAGCATAAGGTAAAATGTTTTGATCTATCACTTTTAATAAAAAGATTGTTGCTAAATCTGCCCAAAAAGAGGCCTGGTGCACTGGTAGCAAAGTTTTGTGCCTTAAATACATTTTATCTGTTTTTGAAAGGAACGCTGAGGATTATGCTTCAGATTATACTTAGGACAGAATTTTTTGTGTTTCAATCTTTAAGGTTTTTTCAGGGAACCGAATCAACTTGGAAATAAACAGGGAAAACAATAAGCCCCCTAATTTTTGTTGTTTCTGCAGTTGGAGGTTTTTCAGAATCACGTAGTTTTTTTAAAAGATATTTTCTTTTGGGGGAGGTGTTGTCAAGGTAGATTGAACCATTTTTATAACTATTAAAATTTATAGAATTGATGTTACTACTGATAAATGAGACTAATGATATAGATGGTCAGTCAATTTAGGCATCACACTTGTATTGGGTTGTTGGAAAAGTCATGACGTATTTTTTCTGTGTTTTTCGTTGCAAAAATGAGTCATGACTTTTCCGACAACCCAATAATTCTGATTATTCCTCCTTAGGAGAAAAGTAATACTGGTGCTTTCTAGTACAAGATTAGTTGGAAACAGCTATTTCTTATATTGGAGTTTTGCAAACAGCTTGTTTTAATTGTGCTTACTGAGCCATTTAGCAATCAAAATAGTTTGCAGATTGTGTAAGATTCCCTTTCAGGCAGTTTTTATCTCACACTTAAGGTAGGGTTTCTTTTTTTCAGGTTCTCAGGAATTCTTCTGCCAAAGGTGAATTCTGCAGGTACACATAATTGCAACAGAACTTACCACAAATTTTGCCGCAGAATTCGAGAGGCCCCTACTTCTAAGTTTATGTAGCTAAATTAATTCCTAATCTTGCACATCTTTTTAAAAATGCAACTTAGGGGGCTGGCCGAGTGGCTCAGTTGGTTAAGAGCTCGCTCAAGAGTTTGAGCTCCAAGCAACAGCGGTTCGGGTCCTGGCCCAAGCTGAGCAGCCGCTGAGCTGCCAACAGGTGGCAGGATGGCTCAGCTGAAAAAAAAAAATGCAACTTAAAGGTTGCTTGACATTGTTACTAAATAGAAAATACTTTGCCACCCAAATTTTGTATGCAAACTCCAAAACACTGATTATTCCTAAGGAAGAAAGCGACTGGTTAGTTATTGTATTATAGCACTTGACGTATTTTATAACTGGAAAGACAACTCAAACATGCATTTATCAGAATAATTTATTGTTTTATATTTTGTCTCAGAACTAGCTGTTTCCCGTGCTAGGTTATGGCTTCATTTCCCATTTTTAAAAAGTCATTTATGTCCTTAGCTACATAAACTCAAAAGTTGGATAAAAATAGCTGTATCTTTGTGTAAACTGTACATGCCTGTACGGCCATTTTTTAATAAGTATGCAGTTAATGAGTGTGAATACTTTATTCCACAGAAGAAGGCGCTCATCAGCATCCTTGTCTGGGAGTAGCTCATCATCCTCTTCGTCTCGTTCCCGGTCACCGCCAAAGAAGCCCCCTAAGAGGACATCCAGCCCCCCTCGAAAAACACGTAGGTTATCTCCTTCAGCAAGTCCTCCTAGACGAAGGCATAGGCCATCGCCTCCAGCAACCCCACCGCCAAAAACACGTCATTCCCCAACACCCCAGCAGTCAAACCGAACAAGGAAAAGTCGTGTTTCTGTCTCTCCAGGGAGAACTTCAGGTAAAGGTAAAAATCAAACACATAAAAACCATGTTTCTTTTTATTTTGTTACAAAGTGCTTCATTAGTTTTTGGCCGCCCACTCCCCCCCTTCAAAGTATGAAGTAGCTGGGTAGTACTTTTTTGTGCAGTTCTTTGTAAATTGCTTAGAGGCTCACCTTTTCTTTCCTGGTTTAAGTTCCTGGGATTTGTTGAAATAGAATTTACATGTAAGTATTTTGTTTTTAGTAGTGCCCTGTGGCATTGAGTAGGTTGAGAAATACATTACCAGCCTGGAGTTATTTGATTTGGGGTAACTTCCTGAAGTTTGTCATCATAAGAGATCATTATATTACTATGAGACCAGTTTATGTTTCTCCCCTGAAGATTTTTTTGTTTGATATCTTATTTGAGGACTTCATATTCTGTTTAATTCTTTCTTGGCCACATTGTGCTCCCTAGGAAAGAACATGATGTCCTCTTAAAGCTGATTTGCTTTTTTAATTTAGCTCTAGGTAGGGTTATTCTGAGTGTTGTCCTTGCTTTATTCTGTAGATTGATTTCTGAGGAATTTATAATCTGTGATCCTGCCAGGCAAGTAGAATGTTGTGTTAGTCTGAGTGAAGGTTGTGGTGTATTGTTGTTTGTTCCTTAGCATTATACATTAATACACTATAGGATCTATTTGAATTAGGAACCTGGTCCTTGGGGCTGGAATGATACAGAGACCCTGAAAGGTGAGTGGTGGGGGAGGGGAAAGATCTAAAAAGCTGCTATGGTAACTGGATTTTAAGGAGCAACCTGCAGCTGCTCTGATCACATTTAAAATTTCAGGTTAGAAATGAGAAAGAAAGTGGAATGGGCAAAAGTTTGACTATATTTTAATGAACTTGATGAAATCAGAATTTCTAATCAGCACTCTGCTGCTGCTGCTGCTGCTTCTCCCCTCCCCACCCACCAACCCTGCAGAGTGTTGATATCTAGAAAGGCAAATTCTGCCTTGCCTCTTTTAAACTTTTACAGTAAGGTATAGACAAGCTATCAGTGAAAGGCGGACTGGCAGATAATGGTACTCTGTAACAAGTAATGTATAGATTATGTTCTGAATTTTTAACAGGTTAAGTAAATTTGGTGATACATAATTAAGTATGCGGTCATTTTTGTTGGATTGGCTCTAGCCTGAGACGGGGAGCTGGCTAAGAATAGAGAAGCCCTTAGGTCTTCCAGATTCAGACTTATAAGTTTGGGAGGAGCCCTTAGGATCACTTATTTTTTTGTATCTCATATCCCTTATTTTTGTTCAAAATTTGGGAAAATTTCAGTCTGTCCATAATTTCCAGTCATCATGTCCAAATCTGATGCTGTTGTCCTGACCTATTTTTTTCTTTTTCTATGAAGTGTTTGTGAATATTTCTTTTCCTTTGTCTGGAGCCAGAAAGCACTCTTGTGAAAAAATATTATTAAACGTTACTTATTACTTTGCAAAAACACATCAAGTTATGATTTTTCTATTTATATCATGTAGCCAAAGGGTGATAAGTGAATCTGAACAGAAGAACTGAGTCCTTGTTAAAATCGGTTGATTGTTAAGGATTAGTAGTTACCTTTTTAAGAATCTGCATAGGTACCAATTGCTTGTGTGTTGATGTATTGTTGGGGGGAGTGGACTGCTGCTTTTTGGAAACAAGTCACAGAGGATAGGTACACGAGCAAGAAATAAACTATGGATGGAGGAAGACAAAGGAGTAGTTTATTCCTATGGACTCTGGGACATCCTCCCATATCCAAACAAAACGCAGCCAAAGAGATGGCACTGTGATAAGTGTAGTCAGAGGCTGCCTTGTGACTACTGAAGCTGAATATTGGTTCTAACTACTTGGAAATAACCTTTTTATAGTTAAATGATCCCAGCTGTTGGTGATGAAATTTCAGAGCTAGAAAGGACTTGAGAGATTGTTGTCAAGAAACAGGTTCTCAGGTTAAGTGATTTGGTCAAGGTCAGTCAGCCAACGCTAGAATTTGGGTTTTCATTCCCAGTTGAAAAATGTATACTTTGCCCTACTCTCCTATCCCAAAATGCCTGCTTTGATTTCTGAAGGAGGGAAATGGAGGGCACGGTGAAATTCTTTAGCTTCTCTACCTGGTGGTATGATTTCAGAAATTCCTTTGTTGCAGTATCTGTGGCTAATAACAGCAGTGACATCGTTGAACTGTAATAGATTTTACTTTTGTATTTCATGTAGTAGTCACCAATCAGGGTTCTAAAGGTTCTGCTGTTGATAGTAGACAAATAGAGTGGGAGGGGGGCAGGAAATGTATTTTGGGGAATTTAAGAGGTAAATTATCTGGAGTGTAGTATATACATTCTCATCTGAAAGGGTCCTCGGGAAGCATTTTGTAATCAATCAATGGCATATCATAGTTAAATTGGCATTAACTTAGTGTATAAAATGAGTGCCTTGAAATCAGTGAGGTATTTAATGAAGTCTGTGTAGAGAGGATCTATACCTATGGTGGTGGTGGTAGTTCTGAGTTTGGATCAGCTTAGCCATATAAACTGTACTTGTAAATACTTAATGATTATTTTTACTTAGCTCTGGTCATAGAGCGACTTATCTTAAAAGTGATCTTTTGGGCAAGTCTGGGAGATTAATAATTAATAGGACTGTTGAAGTAAATTTAAAATTCTGGTTTTTCAGTGGACTGAGATTTGTGACTTATGCTAGGATGATTTTGCCCCTTTACTACGAAAAATGAAAACATTAACATAACAGTAACTGGATAAAATCTCATCTGACAAACCTCGATGAAACATTAACATTATTTACTGTGATCCAGTCATATTATTCCACAGTAGAGGAATATATAATGAATACTTGTCTGATGGTATGAATATATTAAAATAGACTATTTTAGCGAAGTCATTAAGATTGAATCAGGATTAAACTCCAAATGTGCATTTCCATGGAAAAAATGTAAATAATGTTACACAGTTCAAATGTATTAGTTACTAAATAGGCATTTGCCATCTTGCAAACATAATCACATCTTTAATGTTAGCGGAAAGTGCGTTCTGACATCCAAACATACTTTGGAACCTAGTTTTCCAAATCCTTAAAAATTGTAAAGCATTTCTTTGAATTTGTTAGAATACAGATTTTAAATGCACTATTGCTACCATATTTCATGATAATTAGGTGTTAACCATTCTTTTCCCAACCCATTGGTTTGTCCAAAAGGCTTATTAGGTAGAATCATTAGTAAAATGCTGGTGGTTTAAAAAGTACAGTGGTAAATTTCTCCAGTTTGACTAGCAAAGATGAGATTGCTGTTTTAGATCACTAGTTTTCTAAGTTACTACCCTGAATGAGCCTTTACAGAATTCTGAATATGAGTGTCTGTTAAATGTATCTACATTCCAGGTCAAACATCCCATGGTAATTGCTTTAATCAAAACAGCTGTAAAGATCTTGAGTGGAGGTCATAATGTCTTCAAGTTTAGTTCTCAGCTTACTGTTCTCAAATGAGAACATTATCTATGATAAGATTAATGACTGACTGTATCTGTACATACTTTTGATTGTAGTTGAAGCAGTGAATGGATATTATAAACAAAGCTAGTAATTGTTGGAAATTAAAGACTATGCCCTAGAAATAGTCGTGGTTTCAGATCTTAGTTCACTGAAATTATCTGTGACTTTGAAGTTATTTCTTTTTAAACCTCAGATATCTCCTCTTGTAAAACGGAGGGTGGGGGACTGTGATTAGCAACAGTACTTAACAGTATTTAATAATACAGCAGGCATAAAAACAGTAGCTGCCGTAATTTGTATGTATTTGGAAAAAGATAAGTAGGATAATTCATAACATACCTGCAGTTCGGTATATCTCAGAGCTGCTGCTGCTGCTTTTTTTTTTTTTTTTTTAAGCTTTGAAAAGAATCCTCTAGCCTTAATATTTAATTATTTTTACCATGGTGAAGGTCTACTTTTTTATAGGGAGTTTAAATCCCTCGGGCTACTGTGAAGGTTATGCTCTACATAAAGAGCCTACAGCCAGCCTCTCAGGTGGCTAGTTCATTCCTCTTCAGACCAAATACCTTTATCTGAAAGTTTCAGCAGATCTAATTTCTTAATCATTTATCATCTTTATTACTTTTCTGAGTCCACCTGTAGTGGGTGTTTGAAAACTTTTATGCTGATAGGCCTCTGTACAATGTGTGTGGGTTTTATTTGTTTTTTTTAAGATTTTATTGGGGAATTGGAGGAGGGGAACAGCACTGGGGAATCGGGAAAGGGGACGGCCGGCAGCCAGCCACTCACGGTAGCTTTTTACAGCAGCCCACTGCAGCTCTACTGCAGCCTATGCTGTCGCCTCACAGCAGCCCAGCTCCAGGTCGAGCTGTTGTTCACCATCTTAGCTGTAGAGGGCGCAGTGTCACTGGCCTTAATGTGGGATCCGAACTGGGGCCCTGCTGCTCAGAGCTGGCATCCCAAGCCAACTCTTAACCAGTGCACCACTCGGCCGGCCCTACAATGTGTGTTTTAAATTATGGAGTAGCATACAGGTTTTCTGAGCTGAATGTTATACATAGCATAGAGCTTGTTCTATTCTGAAACAGCTCCTAATTTTTCTTAACTGTTTTTTCTGAGGAGATTCTCAAGGTTCAAAACCATAGAACTTTTTGAGACTTTTCACCCAACATATAAAAACTCTTGCTTCCACTTCAGTTATTGTCCATAATAAAAAGGCCTTACAGAATTTTGTAATTCTCAAATTCTTTATGAGTATAGTCACACCTATTTTTGTACTATTAGGATATCTGGTGAAGCTTTTCCTTCCTTATATTTAAGCGGTGTTTTGTTTTTGCCTTGTTCTTTTTAGTGACAAAACATAAAGGTACTGAGAAAAGAGAGTCCCCTTCACCAGCACCCAAGCCTAGAAAAGTAGAGTTATCTGAATCAGGTAAGGCGGGTTGGGGGAGGGGGGAGAGAAGTGTGTGTGTGTGTGTTTTAAGCTGAGTTACATTTGTTGCACGTTTGGTCATCCCCTTTGGGTTAAAGATAAATCACAGGATATGGCTTAGTGGTTAAGAGCTAGGATTCTGAAGTCAGACCAACCAGTTTAAATCCCAGCCTCCACTACTTAATTCCTTTTTGGTAGCTTGCTTACTAAATTTCATCTGAGCCTCATTTCTTTCATATCTGAGATGTGGATAACAATATCATCATTTAGGTTTTTGTTGATTGACTAAAATAATGTTTATAAAGTGCTTGGTACCCAGTCTGACCTGTAGCAAATGCCTAAAAGTTTATTTTGATTACATGTGGCGATGATAGTTTAAATTAGTATTTTAAGCTCCTGCTTTGTAAAAAAAAAATATGGTAATTGTATTGCTTGACCCAACCAGATAAAGGTTTAAGAGACCATTTTCCTTTTCAAATATGGTACATTTTCTGTGTGCATCACTTTCTAAATGCATCTATCTACCACTTTCTAAATGCATCTATCTTTCAGAAGAAGATAAAGGTGGCAAAATGGCTGCAGCAGATTCTGTGCAGCAAAGACGCCAGTACAGACGACAGAACCAGCAATCTTCATCTGGTACGGACACCGATTACATTTTTTCTATCTTCGTTTCTTAATGAAGAAATACGATATGCATATCCGTCAGTATAGTGAGCGTACTTAGGAGAAATGTTTGTACCTACATGGAAATAAAGTAATAGATCTTTAGAGTACAAGAGTAAAACAAAACGGGTATAAAATTAGAAAAGTGTAATTCTTTTCCCAACCCCCAGTCCTACTCCCTAAAGTTTTTATTCAAAAATTTTTTGTGCACATATAAACATCTATGGTTTAAAAGGAAAAAACAACAACAAAGAGACCCCCACACAAGCTTGAACTGTCTGTTATGTTGCCCGCCTTTTTAATGTAAAACATCTTTTCCTGTTCTTATGGATCTACCTTCTTTATTGTAATATGTTATAATTTAGTGAGGCAGTCACCTAATTTGTATATTTAGGTGGTTTCTAGTTTTTTGTGTATTGTGTAAATGTAGCTGTAAAATAATAATTAGAAGTGGAATTTCTGAATTAGAGTATGTGCATAGAAACCTGGTGTTTAATTAAACCAGGTGTTCTGACTTTATTAGCTCAGTTGGTATTTGTGACTGAGACCTTTGCTTTGCCTTTATAAAATGGAAAGCGAAGCATTCCAAAGTGGAATTGTCAGTTAAAAGTTACATAGCGTTTGCAATTCTTTTAAGGCGAAGTTAATCATGGAAAGGTTTGAAAATGCTTATAGGTAGGTCTTGGGGTGTTTTTTGGTACTTGGGACTTTGTTTTAATTTTTAAGTTTTGATATTTGGGGAACCACTGTTATTTTAAGTTAAGGAAACCATGTGCAAGCAACTGAAGCTTTTCTTTTTGAAATCGTCAACATTTGCTACCAGGCGTTGGAGGAAATGTCGTACACATAGCTTCGATAAATGCTAGGGGTATGGAAGGAAGTTCAAACCCTTAACAAGACTTTCCATAGCCTTAAAAGTGCTTAGAGTAACATGAATCAAGTAATTAAGATGCTTTTAAAGCTTTACTTAATTATTTGGGAAGTCACTAGATACTTAAAAGACATTGTGTCTTTTCTTATTGGGTTGTGGTGTGGAAATGATTTATGTAACTTATTTATATAATAATGTGTATTTATGACTGGCTTTCAAGTCACTGAGCAGATACTGATACTGCCTTTTCTGAAAAATGGCTTGTATACATGCCTGCTTACATTAGTGGACTTGGAAATTTAAACATTCTATCCACTTAGATTCAGAAAATGTGGACAGATTCTTTAAAGCACAGACCTGCTGTAATTTTGTGTTCATTGTGTAATTATAGATTCTGGCTCCTCCTCTTCCTCAGAAGATGAGCGACCCAAGAGGTCTCATGTGAAGAATGGTGAGGTAGGCAGGCGGCGGAGACATTCCCCTTCCCGGAGTGCTTCTCCATCACCTCGAAAGCGCCAGAAAGAGACTTCCCCTCGGTAATGTCTTTTCTTCAGTAGTCTTCACTGATGTTCAGTAGTGATGAAACTTCGTAACTTAAGGGATGGGCTATGGTCCTATTTTAGAATTTGCTTAACTTTTACTTCAAGAGCTTGCACAAGGATATGGTCAGATTGGGGGTGGGGGGGGTGGGGGGGCAGTTCTTTGCTTTGTTTGGTGGTTATTATTTGGGTTGTCGGAAAAGTCATGACGCATTTTTGCAATGAAAAACAAAAAATACATCATGACTTTTCCAACAGCCCAATAGCTAATTAACGAGAACTTTGTGAGTTTTGTGCCACCATATCATGTGTTACATCATAGCATTAATTCCTGTACATCTTTGAATATTAAAAAAATCTGTATCTCCATTAGTGATACTTAACGCCATTGAAGTAAATAATTTGGTGATGGAATTCTTGACATTTGTTTTTCTCCACTGCTCTCAGGATGCAGATGGGAAAGCGATGGCAATCGCCAATGACTAAAAGGTTGGTTAGACACTACTTTGTAAACTAGGGTTACATGTCGGAGTTTTAGTGACTTAATTTACTGTCTAGGTAACCTTACCCCATTCCTAGGCATACAGCAGGTATACTGTGGAGTTCCTTCGTTGTTTTGGTTTGATTATATTTCTTTACACAAATTAACGATAGAATTGTACACAATGTTCATTTTAGACATCACTTGAACATAGATTTTTGTGCAGTTACAGTATTTGAATGTTTTTCCAAGAGATAGGATAATAATAATAGCTCCTTAGATTTAATGGGGAATGGTTTTGTGGTGACTTTAGGGATGGCCAGAAAAACTATGGAGAGACTTCAAAAAGTGGAAAAGGAATGGAAGGCTTTGGCCCCCCTTCAGTGTTCTTATAGTAGGTAGATAGGGTTGCATACCTTCATTAGACCATTTTGATTATCAGTGTCTTTGTGACCATAAAACATAACATTTTAGAGTTGAATTGTATGTAGAAATCTCTTAATTTAGGCCTTTCTCATGAGTGAAAAACAAGCCCAGAAGTAGTAGTAAAGTAAGCTTTTTAGGGTTACAAAGTGACAAAGACCTGTACCATTGGCATACCATTATACTGTCTTCACTAGTCTTCTGTTTGGGGGACATTTAGTTGCCACTAAATTTCTAAGTATTTATTCTTCCTGAAAATACCACACTGTCTTATTTTTGGTTCAGTTTTTGAAGCTGTAGTGTTGTAGCCTCATTAATAAGAGTGTTTTCTTGGAAAGGTTTTTTGGAACCAGTCAGCAATGTTTGTGGTGGAGCAAAGCAGTGTATTTGTGCTGTGGAAGTAATTATTACTTGTCAATAAAAAACAAAAACCTAAAAAAAGATTAATTTAGATGCTAAGGTATTTTCTTCCCAGCTATAATTACCCCTGACATTCTATAAAATTGACAGTACAGCAGCTAACAAAATTAGGTTAGAGGTAAGATCCCTCCCCAATTATGGAACTATTTTATTGACTGGAAAGAGATTTCTCACTATAATGAAACCAACGCTAATGTTTATCACCCTATTCCAAGGTGTTTTTGTTTTGTTTCTCCTTGTTAAAAAGGTACTAAGTTGTACTAGTAACCTCAAGTTGAATGATGTTAGAAATTGCAATTAGATGTCTAGGATTTAGAGATGGAGAAATAATTATTTGATATCATGCTTCAGTGTTTATATAGTCTGGTTTCAACTAAGGCTTAAACATTGAAAAATGTAATATTTTTCATGCTCTTAAACATTTGTCTTTGGGTGTGGAACACTCCTTAACTTAAAGGATTCAAGGTAGATTGATCATATTTAGTGTAGTTGATTACAGTTGTCACATCTATAACTTTCACCATTTATTGCATCGTGACTACTAGTGAAGTACACTTTCCTGAAGAGGTCACTGCAGAGATAGCAAGCTGGCTCCTTATGAGACTTGTCTGTTCCTAAATACTTGGGGGGCTAAGGGCTACATCACTTATTGAGGCATATTAAAACTAGTTGTCACATATTTTAAGGGGAAAACTTTTCTACTCAATTTCTGTACACATTTGAAGCCTCGGCTTGACATGTGTGCCTTATCAGATCAGTGAAGAAACTAGTCTTCTAGGTCATAGAGCTGTGTAGGATCAAGAGTCCACTTATAAGTGATTATCAGATCTTCCTGGCAGCTCTTTTATGTTATGCTACTTTGGTTATGGTTTTATTCTTACTCTCCTTTTGGTTATTTTCTCACACGGAAACACTGGCCATTGAAGGTCATTACTGAAAGAGACCTTTTAGTTACTGTAAGTCTTTCATTTTACAAATGAAACTGAGGTACAAAATCAATATTTCAGGTTATCAGTGTATCAGTAGATTCTAATCTGAGTCCAATTTTTAATGAGAATTTTGATTGAAGTGTTGCACACTGAAATGGGAAGAATATTTTTTAAAGCAAAGCCACATAACAGTAATAGCCTCTCAGGCTATTATACCCACTGATAACATTGAGAGTTCTGGTTTATATTACCTCATCCTCAAAGTTTGCAAATGTAAACCTTTGCTTTTCTTCTTTTTAAGTCAAAACCCAAATATATTTTCCCATTTGAAATCTTATTTCCTGTTGAAACAATATTGCAGCCATCCTGTTTCTCCAGGTCCCATGAGTCTTGACTAGCCTTACTGCTGATAAAGTGGCTTCTCCTTTAATTGTCCTTTCTTGTAATTAATAGTTCAGTGTCTACATTTCATTCATCTGAAGCTTATCTGTCTTCATATATTACCTGTAATAGTTTATATATTAAACCTGTTCAAAGTGAAGTTTTAGTCCCCACACAACATAAATTTAAATTGAAAATTAATTTCAGGATTGTTTTCTGTTCTGTTAACAGCTGCCTTAAAGGGAACCAAGTTTTAAAGTTTTAAAGGGAACCAAGACTAATAAAACTTAGAAAACATTTCTAGATTCACAGGAAGCATCAATTCTGTACTGGGCAAGAAATTAAGAATTAATTACATTATTTGACTACTTTATATACAAACTTATCCAAAAGGTGGCAAACTGACTTAGCGTATATTTTAATACATCTGTAGGGAGATTGCTATAGGGAGTACAGTTGGTACAATATATTTCAGGTGTGCTTTTTATGTTGGTTGAGTGTGTTTTTGAGCCCAGAATTAAGGTTTATTTGATCCTTATCTATATCTTAACCAAATTGTTCCCATTGGTAGCTTTAGTGCTAGACAACTTTGGTCCCTTGCCTTTGGATAGTGTTTTTAGTTAACAGGATGCAACTCCTGAGCAGTGGAAATAACATTTAAAAAAATAAAGAACTTGGAGTGGAGGCACCCAGATTTGGAGCCTTAAGCCACTGTTGACTATTAAAAATTTAAATTTCTGTATTGAAACATTGAATTTTCCTAGGCTTTAATGCAGTTAGTTGTTCCTAGTAAGGAATTGGAAAGTCACCTGTAGAGAGCCTTTTCAAAATACACCGGCTAGACCAAGGGTCGGCAAACTGCGGCTCATGAGCCACATGCAGCTCTTTGGGTACGTACATGTGGCTCTGAAGTAAAATTGAAAATGAAAATAAAACTATCATAGTTTCATTTATAATATTACTTTAAGTTTTCCTTATTTGTAAAAATATATTTATGACTCGAATAATTTTTCAATTGTTGAAGGACAGGATTGGCTCTTCCAGGGGTCGGCAAACTTTTGAGACGGAACAGAACGTACCCAAAGAGCCGCATGTGGCTTGCGAGCCGCAGTTTGCCGACCCCTGGGCTAGACCATAGCCCAGATCTGGTGAACGCAAAGCTCAAATAAGTTTCCCAGGTGATTCTGGTGTGCATGCCAATTTAAAAGCTGTGGTTTAAGGCAGCATTTTAAAACTTTTCCTACATTATGTTAAGAGTGTTTTATTTCATGACAGACTACAATATTTATATACTGAACAAAAATTTCACAAAACAATATTTACCCTTACTATAAGTAAGACTCTTGATTTTCTGATTTTTTTTTTTTAAATGCTGGTTGTTACCCAGGGTCTTAACTAATAGTCTTGACTTATAGTTTGAAAAACACTGCTCTGAGGAATAGAGCAACAGTTGTGCGCTTTGGGTTAACAATGATTGAAACGGTGTCATGTGGATCACTTAATTATAAATGCTATTCAGAATCACTATAATTCATTCTTTAGTGGTAGACGGAGGAGAAGTCCCTCCCCACCACCCACCAGAAGACGACGTTCTCCTTCTCCTGCTCCTCCTCCTCGCCGGCGCAGGTCTCCCACACCACCACCGCGACGAAGGTACTTTATCAGATACGCTTGTTGGAGCTAATTGGAACAACTTTGAATCTTTATGATTGAAACATTTTATTAGGGTGGCATTGCTCAGCCATTCACAAAACAATGCATACTATATGATTCCATGCATCTGAAAAGTCCAGAACACAGAAATCTATAGATAGAAAGTGTGTTGCCTAGATAGGAATGGGGAGTGATAATGGTTGCACAACTGTGAATATACTGAAACTATTGAAGTATATACACTTTAAAGGGTGACTTTTACGGTATGTGAATTACATCAATACAGATACTAAATTAAAAGGTGGAAACACTATTTAGTGACTGTAAAGGGAAAAGTATTAACTTAGTGAAGAATGCCAGATACCTTCTTAACTAAGGAATCAAAGTTAACATCTCCAGTAATACATATTGGCATCACATAATTCCAAGGTACCTCTGTAGTATCCTTACCAATTATGTAGAACCTCAGTCTAATTATTAGGAAATAATAGACATACCCAGTTTGAAGGTCATTCTGCAGAGGAACTGACCAGTACTCTTAAAAATGTCAATCATGAAAGACAGACTGAATAACAGTTACAAATTAGCAGAAACTTGGGATACATGACAACTAAATGCAACGTGGGATTCTGATTTTTGGAACTTGGAACAGAAAAGGGACATTAGTGGAAAATGGGTGATATTGATATTTTAGTTAATATCAGTTGAGGTTAATTTCAGTTTTGATAATTTTTCTATGATTATAAAATGTTAAGTGGCAAATCTCCCCTGTTATTGTAGCTCTTCTGTAAATCTAAAATGATTTCAAAATAAAAGTTAGGAAAAAATTTATAATGGTATTGCTCAAATACATTACCAAGCAGTATCATGGCAACTTCCGTTCTTGAATGCCTGTTGTGTGCCAGGTGTGTGCTAAGAGGTAGGTCAGGTTCTCACAGGGATGCATTCTGCCCAACAGTAGATAGAGTCCAAACGCCAGCTCAGATGATACCACATAGCAGAGTTACTATTGGATTGTCAGAAAAGTCATGATGTATTTTCCTATGTTTTTCGTTTCAAAACTGCATGATGATTTTTCCGACAACCCAATATGTAATGATCAAGGACGTTCAAAGTAATGCAAGATTCTGTTCTCAAAAAACATTCAATTGGTTTTGTATGGGTTGTGTTAAATGACTTAACAAATTTGAATTCATTTTGAAAACTGCAAATTTCTGTTAACTAGAATGTCGTCATCTAAGAGAAACAGGAATTTACCAAGTGATATTTTTACTTTAAATGAGGATAAAGGTATAGCATTTTCATTTAGAAGGCATTCCCTTTTCCTGTTGCTAGATTAGTACAGGCATACCTCATTTTATTGCACTTTGCAAATAGTGCGTTTTCATCAACATCGAAGCAAGACCATCCAGCAAAAAAGATGACTCAGATGAGGTTGGCATTTTTTAGTAATAAAGTATTTTTTAATTGACATGTACACTTTTTAAAAGAAATAACACTATTGCACAGTTAATACAGTATAGTGTAAACATAACTTACATACACTGGGAAAACAAAAAATTAACGTGATCTGCTTTGTTGCAATATTCCCTTTATGGTGGTGATCTGAAACAGAACCTACAATGTCTGAGGAATGCCTGTATAGCCATAGTTGCTGGCTAGTTTTCTTCGTAGACTAGTTCTTTATCTTGTTGGGCCTTTCGCTTACTGATGTAATTTTTCCTAGGACTCCTTCTCCTCCCCCACGTCGGCGCTCACCTTCTCCAAGAAGATATTCTCCTCCAATACAGAGGAGATATTCTCCTTCCCCTCCTCCAAAGAGAAGAACGACTTCTCCCCCACCCCCTCCTAAACGAAGGGCATCGCCATCTCCACCACCAAAGCATCGAGTCTCCCATTCTCCGCCTCCCAAACAAAGAAGCTCCCCAGTCACCAAGAGACGTTCGCCTTCATTGTCATCAAAGCATAGGAAAGGGTCTTCCCCGAGCCGGTCTACCCGGGAGGCCCGGTCACCACAACCAAACAAACGGCATTCGCCCTCCCCACGGCCTCGAGCTCCTCAGACCTCCTCAAGTCCTCCACCTGTTCGAAGAGGAGCATCATCATCACCCCAAAGAAGGCAGTCCCCATCTCCAAGTACTAGACCAATTAGGAGAGTCTCCAGGACTCCGGAACCCAAAAAGACAAAAAAGTAAAAAAATACCTTATGTGTTTTGGTTAGGAACACTAACTTGCATAGCTCTCCTTATATTTGGAAGCTTTTCCCCCTGCTTTACTAAGAAATTACAGGAAAGAATAAGCTATGAACACAAACTTGTAAGGCAAATTCTAGGGCACTATTCAGAGATCCTTTTCTGTTTCCAGGATGGTTCCTTATGGCATAATCCAAATGCCGTAGGATTTTATACTTGGTTCTTAGGAGTTAATTGAGGGTGTGCTCCCAAAACTAAACTCTGAAGCAATGCATAGAATGTTTCTTGCATGTCTATGTAAGACTGATTAAAGCAGTCTTAAAATACAAAGAATTGGCATTACTAATTTCATACAGGAAGAATCATTAACAGAATGGAAAGAAGTTTGTGGAGCTTGAACTATTCTCTAGGAAACTTAGATGATATAAATTTGAGTTAGTATACTCAATCAGCAAGCTAAATGCTGTAAAATATTTAAAGTTTGTGACCTAGTTGTATAATGGTAGTTGGTTATTTTTCTCTTAGGAAAGATCTGTTCTTGGATACTAAATGTTTTGGTTTTTTTCCCTTTGTCTAGGGCTGCCTCACCAAGCCCTCAGTCTGTAAGGAGGGTCTCATCCTCCCGATCTGTCTCAGGATCTCCTGAGCCAGCAGCTAAAAAACCCCCAGGACCTCCATCTCCTGTCCAGTCTCAGTCACCCTCTACCAACTGGTCCCCAGCGGTACCGGTCAAAAAGGCTAAAAGCCCGACACCAAGCCCATCACCGGCAAGGGTACGTCTGCCCTGTTTTGGACATCCTTTATAATTCTACATGGTCACTTGGCAACAGAGACAGTTTTTTGTCTTTTGTAGCTCAGAAGCGTTGTTTTCTGTGGTTCAGAAGGGCTTCAAGGAGGCACAAATTCAGTGGTAGTGGTTGCACCAGCAGTCCACACTTAACACTAGCCACCCACTAATTTGCAATATGTCCAATAGTGTTAAGCTCCACATTCCTGGTGGTTGAGATTGGGCTATATAGAAAAATCTTAAAAAACAGAAAGAATAAATTGCCCATGATTCTATTATGTAGGGGTAGAAATACCTTAGTATTTCTGCTGTTTTTTTCTAGTGTTTGACACATTTGCGGACCTAGTTAAGATCACACAAATCAATAAAACTTGCAATCTTAGATTGTGTCTATTAATATGATTCAACTTTTTTTTTTTTTAAGATTTTATTGGGGGGCTGGCCGAGTAGCGCGTTGGTTAAGAGCTGGCCTGGGATGCCAGAGGGCCCCCGTTCGGATCCCACATATGAGGGCCAGTGACACTGCCCTCTATCGCTAAGATGGCTGAACAACAGCTCAACCTGGAGCTGGGTTGCCGTGAGTCACCAGCGACGGCGTAGGCTGCAGCCCCTGCTGCAGTGGGTTGCCATGGGCTACCTTGTGTAACCAGCAGCCAGCATGAGCGGCCATCCGGAAGCCGGCGACTGATCTGCCTTGCCCAGGAAGAGCGCAGTGATGGTACCAACTTGGGTCAGTGAAGCAACGTCCTCCACAACTAGACTGAAGAACAAAAGGACAGCAACTTGTCTGTTCCCCTTCCCCTAATAAAAATAATTTAAAAAGGGATTTTATTGGAGAATTGGGGAAGGGGAACAGACAGGCAGACAAATTTCTGTTTTGTTCTTCAGTCTAGTTGTGGAAGATGTTGCTTCACTGGCCTATGTTGGTATTGTGATCATTGAGCTCTTCCCGGGTGAGGCCGTCGGTCGCCGGTCATTGGTCGGCCGCTCACAGTGGCTCACGGCAGCTCTCACCTGCTGCTGGCCACTCACGATGGCTGCCAGCCACTCATGGTAGTTTATGGCAGCCCATTGCAGCAGAGGCTGCAGCCTACGCTGTCACCGGCAACTCACAGCAGCTCAGCTCCAGGTTGAGCTGTTGTTCAGCATCTTAGCTGTAGAGGGCAGTGTCACTGGCCCTCATGTGGGATCTGAACCAGGGTCCTGCTGCTCAGAGCTGGCGCTCCCAAGTGAGCTCTTAACCAGCTGAGCCACTTGGCCAGCCCTGATTCAACTTTTATAAAGGAAAAAATACATATCACAAAGAAGATAACAAAATGTTGGCAGTGTGTTATGTGTTTGGGGAATGATGAGTGATTGGAATTTTTCTTCTTTGTACTTCAATGCTCATTTTTTCTACAGTGGAAATACGGTTGACCCTTGAACTGCACAGATCTCCTTATATGTGTGTTTGTTTTCAATAAACAGTCGGCCATCCATATCCCCAGGTTTCGCATCCGCAAATTCAACCAACTTCAGATTGAAACAGTATTTTTGATCTGTAGTTGGAATCCATGGGGGTGGGTGGCGACTTGAGCATCCATGGATTTTGGCATCAGGGAGAGGTCCTGCAGCCAGTCCTCTGCAGATACTGAGGGGTGGCTGTAATTAAGGGTTTTTGGGGTTGGTAATTAAGTCAAGTAGCTTGCCAAAGACAAGACTATACTGGACAATAAAATATTTTCCTTTCCATCTAATATTTCACAGGTTATAAGGTTCAGCGGTCAACTGTACATTATTTATAATAAAAAAATAACCTTATAACCTGTGAAATATTAGATGGAAAGGAAAATATTTTATTGTCCAGTATAGTCTTGTCTTTGGCAAGCTACTTGAGAATAACACTTTTGTTTTTACAGTGTCAAGTTTAAATAATCATTGGTGTGCTAAAATATTGGGGCTTAAACCTTTTCTCCCCTTTTGTGCATTATTAATCTGATCTTGGACAGGTTTTTGTGATAAAATTAGTGGTTAAATGTCGATCTAAACAGGGTTGACTGAATTATGCAAACTAACTGAATAAATTGGGGGGTTTTAAGTAATTGCTTAGAAATGTGAAATTGAAGAATTACAGACACAATTCAGTTATAACAGAGCCTGCCTTTTGCTTAACTTGGTATATGTGCAGTGAAGGATAAACCACCTCTGCCCTAAGGAGAGGTTAGGTGGTGATTAAGAAACATGGCATTCTACAAGCATGTATTTAGAAATAATGACTGTCAAAGCTGGCTGTGTGTTAGGCTAATCTAGTGGGTGATTTACAGGTACACCCATTTAATCATCACAATAGCTTTAACAGGGATTATCAGACACAGTTTAGGTTGACAAAAAGGCTTCAGAAAAAAAGTCTAGCAGATTTGCCTGAGATCAAATAGTTAATAGATTCAGAAACCAGAATTCGGCTCAGACCTACTTGAGTTCAGAGACTTATTTTTCTATTGCACATGCTGCTTTTTCTTACATCTGGAGGTAGACCCTGACTCACTCCAGTCCTTGAGACCTGACTCACAGCTTGTCAGGAAACCTGGTTTAATGTGAAACTAGATGCGTAAAATTGTAAAAAATCAAGTTACCTTCAAGATCCGTTCTCACCCTTAAAATATGTGACGAATATCTTTGCTTTCAATGTGGTTCCCATCTCTAGGAATACTTTTCTTGGTGGAGATTGGCCTTGGGTCTTTTTTTCCCTAAAGCCTTATGAAATCTTGAGATGGGTCCATTTAGTTAATTTCCTTGAGGAAATAAAATGTTGAGTTGGATGGAATTTTAATGATTGATTTTATTGCTGCTGTTTTCCTGGATTTCTAGAATTCGGACCAAGAAGGAGGTGGAAAGAAAAAGAAGAAGAAGAAGGACAAGAAACACAAAAAGGATAAGAAGCACAAGAAACACAAAAAACACAAGAAGGAAAAGGCTGTGGCTACAGCTGCTGCAGCTGCTGTAAGCCCTGCAACCATTGCTGCCCCCACGACCACATCAGCACAGGAAGAACCAGAGGCAGAACCAGAGCTGAAGAAGGTATTTATGAACACTGTTGTGGTTTATACAAGTACTGGAATTTGCTTTTGAGAAATGATGTTTTCTAATAATTGGCTACTTGGATGATAACTCCCTTGATCTGTTTTTCGATGACCTACCAGGAACAGAAATATGCCAAGACTAAGGATAAGAATAGGAATGGCTGCCAAAAAGCTTAATGTATATTTCTAAAATAACGTCTCTGAGATATAATTAACATACCACGCTATGTATAATTTACCCATTCAAAGAATACGATTCAGTGGTTTTTAGTATATTCATCGAGTTGTACAGCCATCACCACCATTTGGTTTTGCTCTATATTCACTACCTCTCACACAAGTGTCTTGTGACTTGACGATAATGACCTTTCTGTTTTGTTTTTTTTAAGGAGACTGAAAGTGAAGCTGAAGATAACCTTGACGACTTAGAAAAGCACCTGCGTGAAAAGGCCCTGAGATCAATGCGGAAGGCTCAAGTGTCCCCACAGTCTTAGGTGGAAATGTTTGTTATGATGTAAATTTTATTTGGTTTGTACTCAATTCAATTTCAAAATTGCTAAAATGTGTTTGAGCTTTAGACTATAACATTTGTTGTAATAATTGCTAGGTTGAAGTTCACCATGTATAAAAAGGGCATGGATTTACATTGCAAAAGGCGTCCACAGTGTATTAGTGACATTCTTTCATTGACAGCTGACATCAATCCATTTAGAGTGAAATATTTTAAGCCAAAAAAAAAAAAAATCCCCTTTTTAAAAAAGGGGGTTTAAATATCGTTGGCATTATTAATGGTTTCTTTAAATGCCCCTGGCTATTCCCAGAGGTTTTCCTTATTTTTTTCTTCCTTTTTTTTTTTCTTTTACTTATTTGAGTCTTCACACCCATTTAAGTTATGATGCTTCCAACCTTGTATGGTTTGCAGGCTTGCCCAGAAAGACCACTGTTGAACTACCACAAAAGTATAAATGAATATTTTAATGCCACAATCTTTCCTGTTGCCTGTGGAGTCACTGCTGAAATGAATCAGGATTCGAGCTCTAGGATGAGATAGAAAATGAAAGCATGTTGTTTGCCAGGACACTGTGGGTTTACATTGATGTGTAACAAGTTAATTTGGAACACTGGAATTTCATTCTATTCTGTTGTGTTTTTTTGTAAAGGCAATTAACTAGTCCCAGGAAGGATCCTTGAGTTATATAAAATTTTGTTTTATGAAATGTCATGGCTCCATTCATAATTTTGTCTTATTCTTCCAATTGGTATATACAACTTTCAGAGCTCTTGTATTTGTAAGGCTGGAAGGGCCCAGACTTTGAAATAGTGTCTTGTTTTCACTGTTTTTGTTTTTTGTTTTATTTTGTTTTTTTAAACTAAAGCTATATAAAGCTTGTGGATTAAACAGAATAAATTTCTAAATTTAAAAATGTTGGCCACTCACTTTTACTTACCTCAATACTGCAGGAAACCTGCCTTTCTTGGAAATTTTAGTGCCTACATTTTTTACCCCCTTGGCACTTAGGACAGAGTGAGGGTTGGGCAAGGAAAAAAAAAAGTGGTGAAATTGTTTTTACCATCTTTATTTAAATAATTAATATGATAAGTGCTGTGAAGGGAAAGTGCATGGTGTGATTGGAACATACCGGGGTGCCAAAAAAATGTATACAAGTAGACACTTTGGTCAGTGTTGCTCAAACAATAGTTCGCCATACTCAGAAGTGTCTGGATGCTGATGGTAACCACTTTGAGCACCTCTTGTAATTGCAAAAGTCAAACATGACTTATATTCATCTTTTGTTAATGCTATATATTGAGTATTACAATTTTAATAGTTTTTTCCTTTCTTAAAATGTGTATACATTTATTTTTTGGCACCCTTTGTATATGATTCACAGGGCAAGTCAACCAGGCATGGGTGAAGAGTGTTTCAGACAGAGCAAACAGTGTCTGTGTCCACCCTGAGGCAGGAGTCTGGCACATTCCAGGAAGTGAATGAAGGCTAACAAATGACAAGCAACCTCCTTCTATCAGGGGTGTGTGTGTTTAATGTTTGACTGTCCACAGTCAAGCCATTTTTGCATTTACGATTTAGCAGAGCAAAATAATTTGAGGAAACTTGGAGTTGATAACATTGTATAAAGTGAAACAGCAATATTCATATGAAAGAAGTAAAAGGGAATTTGGGCACCACGAATCTTAAGCTGAGCAGGTTGAAACATGGGCAGTTAATTTGATTGTAATTTCTGGCAGTTGAATCAGAAAAAAGAAAGAAAATGGCTACATGTCTTAATTTCAGGAAAACAAGTTTTTTACCTAAAGGACATGGATGGAAAGGGGCTGTTTTTACAGGTTGGGTTTTAGAGTGATTTGTAACAAGGCGAAAGCTTAGTGAAGCTGCTTCTGTAGGGACTGAACTGAGGCAGTCTAGAGTGACTCCATGGTTGATAATAGACTCTTACACATGTGTGCAGTGCAGCAACTCCATTTTCAAGGATGTTCCATGTGGCTTATAATTCTGTGATGTAGGAAAAGCACAGGATATCCCGTTTCTAAGGTGGTGGTTGTTAACCTTAATCCATTCTGGTGTGAACAAACCAGTGAACATCCGTGGGGTACTTGCATCTATCTATCTAGCCAATTCACTTATTTACTTAATACCATTTATTCAATAGGCTTTCATTCCTCCTCTTGCCTGAGCTGCTCCATTTTGCCACAGTGAGTGCTTCATTCTCCATCCTTACTGTATGAACCCTCTTGGCAGGATTGGCTCAGTGATTCCTTTCTTGAAACATCTTCACTTGGATTCTAGGAGGCAACACTGGTTTACCTTTTAGATACAACACCAGTTTCCCTCCTACCTCACTAGCTGTTCCTTTTTATCTCTAATGGATCCTTTCAAACATCAAGTGATGGAGTGTCTTTCTTTTGTCCTTGGTGGCTTTGCCTACATTTCATCTCTAGTCTCTTGACTTTAAATGTCATTTTTTTGTTGCTGTGTCAGATTTTTTTTCATTCTAAACTTACCCCTGATGTAGGCCTCTATTTAGCCAGCTACCTACTTGATAATGCCATTTGGATGTTTAAAAGGCATACCGAATTAATCATGTCCAAGATAGAATAATTCTATCTTATCCCCATCTCAAAAGTACCTGTCACCCTCATTTACTCAAAATGGAGTCACTACTGCCAGTGACAGTACTGTCTATCCTCCAACACACACACAAACCATTCCATTCCCAACAGCTTAAGTCAAATCATAGTATTGCTCAAAACCTTTGGATAGCTTTCTACCTCAGAGTAAAATCTGAATTTCTTGCTATGGCCTGCAGGACCCAGTAGCATTGGGCTGAATCTGCTTTGGCACCTTCATCTCTGCTTGGTCTGTTCAAGCCATACCCGCCGTCTTTCTTTAACCCATCTTGCACTTTCTTTAACCCATCAATATGGATTTCTCTTTCAGGGCCTTTGTTTCCACTGTGTCCTCATCCTGGAAGGCACCGCCTCCCAATCTTGGGCTTGTTTCCTTCCTTGGTTTTCCTCAGGCAGGCTTCCCTAACTCCCTTATTTTATTGTATAGCAATTGTTACTACCTGAAATGATATATTTTTGGTCCCTAGGAACTTGGCCTTGTTCTTGACTGTCCTCAGTACCTGCTACATAGTAGAAGCACAAATACTTGATGAATGGGTGAATACATGTTAAATTCACCATCATTGTCTCTGTACTTGCCAGGTGCTACCAGGGTTTGATATAAAGAAATGAAAAGTGATGATTGCTGCCCTCAAGGAGTATTTGCCTACAGGGATGTAAACATGAAAACAACAGTTTGGAGTGGACAGAACATAGTTTCGAGTCTGGTAGACCAGGATTTCTACCATAACTTGCTATTGTGTAACCTTGGTCAAGCCACTTGACCTCTTAAGTGCTGCCACTTCCTCTGTGGGAAATAATGGTGGCATCTACCTCAGAGTTGTATTTGAAGACTTCACTGTGTTAGTTAATACACATAAAGCAATGATAGCACAGAGAGGTTCCCATTTTCTTAGTTAACGTGACATGTATTCATTCTACTAATTATGGCAAATTTTAGTTTAGATGTCTAAAAAGGATTTTAATCATATCCCTATTCAATATAATTTTTCTCTCTTTTTTTTAGATGTAAGCCACCATAAAACTCACTGTTTTAAAGTGCAACTCAGTGGTAGTATAGTCACAAGGTTGTACAACCATCGCTATTCCAGTGTTCAAGGATAATGAGTTCAAGGTTCAGTCATGGTACTTCATTTCTTTTTATTGCTGAATATTATTCCCTTGTGTAGACATATCACATTTCGTTAATCATTCATCAGCTGGACATTTGGGCTGCTCCCACTTTCTGGCTATTATGAATAAAGCAGCTATGAATATTTGCATACAAGTTTGTGTGGACATTTTTTCTCAGCTATCTACAATTGCTGGGTCATACTCCAACTCTTAACATCCATATAGCAGCTGCACCATCTTGTGTTCCCACCAGCAGTGTATGAGGGTTCCAGTTTTTCCACATCCTTACCAACACTTCTTATCTGTCATTTTGATTATAACCATCCTAATAGGTGTGACCTAGTATCTCGTTGTAGTTTGATTTGCACTTCCCTGACGGCTAATGATGTTGAGCATTTTTTCATGGACTGATAGATCACAATGCCATTTTAAGTTGATTTGTCTACATGAGAATATTTCTGAAATTGTGGCTGTAAGTTTGGATGCGGGGTTCAAAGTCGCTGTAGAGTAGAGCTGCCAATGCGTTTGTAAAGTGCTTTGTAGTGCTCGCATACCCATGTTAGAGGTTGGGGCTGGAGGCCAGACAAAGATTTGTCCCAGTTTATAAAGATCACAAGGCTCAGGGAGAGTGTGTGACTTAAGGATAGGTGCAGGTCTAGTTAACATTGTCCTTCCTACCATCTGATAAGAACCCAATATTTTTCTCAATATACCTGTCTCGTATAACAATCACATAAGGTGATGAATGTAGAAACACTGCCCAAATGTGTTTGGCTATTAGAGCCTTGGGGTTTAGGGTATATACCTTAATTACTACCTTAAGAAATCCAAGTTTAACAGTTGAAAATCGCATGGCATTGATATTTTGAGATTCTAACTGCTCAATCCTAAAAGACCATCTCCAAGAGTCCATAAGCACATTTTGCCTTTTGAAAACTGATATGCAGTATTTTTCAATGGAAAGACCCATCTTAGCTCATACCAGACATTGCCTTCTGACTCAGGAACTCAATTATTGCTGTGCTTCTAATTGATCTTTCATTCAAATCTGTTTTCAAAGGAAAGGTGAACTGATAGACTTTGAAATACAGACTTTTCCAAAGCTCTTGGCAAAAACCTTCCGTATTTGTCAATATGTCATAATTTGGCAGGCTTTCATATCATAAGCGGTTTTGCCAGGATGCCCTTTTATTTCAGATGTATCGAGAGGAGGCCTTGATGTGCTGATTCCCAAGAAGGCACCATGTGGGTTCCTCCCACCAGATGGGGCAGTCAAACTTCAGCTGGAAACTACCTTAAGGAAGTGTTTTGGAGGTTGAGACCTAGTAGGGAATTGTAAAATTGAATGGGTCGCCACCAACATTAAAAGATAAAAGTCAAATGGTCAACTTTAGTGTGAGTCGCATATAGCAGGTGAAGTTTCATGAAGTGTATGTCTGCGCATGCATGTGTGTGCTTGTGTTCTGGGTTGAGATGTAAAATGTGTATTCTAATGTGATTCGGTCAACAAAATGGAAAGAAATTACCTTAACAAATCATGTAGTCCACAAGTTTTTGAGCTTCCCCTGCAGTGCCCTAAGTGGGGAGAGGGATGGTTTAGATTTTCTCTGTAAGATGGGGCCACTCTGCTTTGAGGTTTATATGTGACACACATTTTTTAACATTGGGCTTCCCTGTTGGATTGTGTTTGGATAAAGGGTCACACACACACACACCCACTAGCCCAGCCCTTGTCTTCTACAAAGGGGACCTGACTTCCCACACCCCATCGTAAAGCCTTGGCTCCCCAGGTACTTTTCCATTCCATCAGCCTGCCTCAGCTGGAGGCTGTTAAAATCACCCAACTTTAATTCTGTTGTAGTGAAAGGAAACAGACCAAGTAAGATTAGCCAGGAGTAGAGGTAGCTTTTAGTGGATACTTGTTATGTGGAAGGAAAACCTCATCCAGGAAAAGGATCGTTTTTATCAATCTGAACGTCTGCCATCTACTTTCAAGCACCTCCCTAGTGCACAACCAGGCAGGGACCCTCTGGCATCATAAACACGGAGGCTTTGGGGCTTGCTGAGTGGCACGTTGGTTAGGAGTTGGCTTGGGACGCCAGCTCTGAGCAGCAGGGCCCCGGTTCGGATCCCACATTAGGGCCAGTGATGCTTGTGCCCTCTACAGCTAAGATGG